AGAAATAGGAACTTGTGCTTCTGAGGAAGGTCTCTTTCTGGCACTGAGTGTACTACTTGAGCAGGAAGCCGAGCAAGTTCAAAACCAAGAAAATGACTTAACTTTAGAGATGAACTGGAAGACATTCCAACCTGTCCTCTTGTACTTGTGCTTCTCATATTTTGGAGGAATAAATATATTCTGTAATTTAAAAGTCACACTTAAGCATTTTTAGAAGATAAAAATTAAATTGATGCCTCAGAACCCTAATATTAGTGAAAGGGTCACCGAAGAAGAGAGACACAAACGGGCATCAAGCAGCAAGCCTTTATTGGGGCGGCAGACTGCAGCCTCCCGGGACGGGACTGACTCACAGGAAGCAAGGAGATCAGCCACAGCGTGGGCTGAACTGGGGATTTATATGGGATTTTGCAGGTGGGAGAGCACTAGTCCACTGGTGGGGGGTGGGTAATTGGGGCTGGGGTATGTAGCAACAGGTTTCGGTCAAGGGGATAGAGTAATTGCTTTCGGGAAGCCCCTGTCTCATTGGAACATCTGACTAAGAAACCGGTGGGGCAGAAAGACCTTAACTAGCCAGAGAGTCACTAACAAAGGGAGGTCATGCCTTGGTTATGTGGAAGTTCTCTAATCCTTGTGGCTGGAGTGGGGCAGGGGGAAAGGAAAGGAGGGGGCTTGTTCTGTGGGGGCTCTGAAGTACCTAACAATTAGAATTTTAAGAAATTAGAGAAAATTAGTTTTATAAGTGTTTTGGCTTTCTCTTTTCCCACTTAATAACTCACTAAGTGCCATGCTGGGCTTTTTGAGATTAAGATTTACACAGTCTCCCTGGAGACAACTTCAGCATTTTAAATCATATTTAATGAAACAGGAAAGATCAAAAGTCATTTGGCTACTAACAATTTCATTAATTAAGGAAACATTTGTGCAGAATATACCACAGAGACTCACATGACAGCACAGGCTATCTGTGTGCTATCCTGATTCTGCCAATTATCAAAGACTTTGTAGTTACGTATCTTAGCTTGGTGGACACTGTTTTTGCCATTCTGATCTCTCTTAGGCATGAATGTCCTGAGAGAAGGAAGGCCCTGGAGACCTTGAGAAATAAGCTGGTGAGGCCCTCTCACTTCCTCCTCCATGCAGCTTTGTTGTTTTGGCACATTTGCAGTCTGTCTGCATCTAGCTGAGTCTGTATTCCTTGGGACTCAGTACACAACTGGATATTATGGAGCCAGGAGCCAAGAGTCATGAAAAGAAAACCTCTTAGCTTCAGAGAGTTACTTCTTTGAAAGGGTCGCAGAAAAGGAGAGGCACACCAATGTTCAAGCAAGCCTTTATTGAGGGCAACCTGCCAGGACTGACTCACAAAAGGGAGACCAGCCATTGCGTGAGCTGAGCTGGAGGCTTATATCGGGTCTTTGCATGTGAGAGAGCATGTAGTCCTTTGATGGGGGTGGGTGATTGTGGTTAGGGCATATAGCAACAAATTCTGGCTGGGGGACAGAGAAACAGGCTCCAGGAAGTCCCTATCTCATGGGAATATCTGGTGGGATGAAGTGACAAGCTCCAGGAAGTCCCTGTCTTGCTGGGATATCTGGTGGGACAAGTGACAAACTCCAGGAGGTCCCTATTTTAAGGGAACATTTGGTGGGATGAAGTGACAAGCTCCAGGAGGTCATTAACTAGGAGGGGTCAAGCCTTTAGTTATGTAGAAAGTCCCAGTTAGCTGTTAGGGAGAAGGACAGGGAGAAGGGGGAGGGAGCTTGTTCTGTGGGGCTTTGGAGTACCTAACACTTCTTAATTGTAAAATCTCTAGGTAGCTAGAAAATAATTTCCTCTAATCATTAATTCCCACTCTGGTCTTGCCAGTGACCTCTTATCACACTGTCCTGTCCAGCATGCTGAAGGACTCCAGCTGAAAGGCCAAATGCTATTAATTGTGTTGGTACTACATGCTGTTTTCAGAAATAAATTAAAAACTTTTCCCTTGAATAGCTCCATTTATAAATTAATATGTTTAATTTAATCTACTCATATGAAGTAAAAAATTAGGGAAATATATGCATACTAACAAAAGATCCATTTATTAACTACAGGTCTATATTCATATAGAATCTTTAATAACAATGTGTACCTTTTGAATAAAAATACAGCAAACAGCAAAATTTCTTTTATTCTTCCCTCCAGAATGTATTAACTATTTGATATGAATAAAATACAAATGTAGCTTATTCAGAAAACTAACACTTAAAGCTTTACTTATTTTTTCTGACTTCAGTTTTTCTACCTACTTTATTGCAAGATTGTCTTTGAAATGTACTTCATAGCATCTACAGTCAAAGCCTTTCAATTTTGAGATTATATTATATATAGCATTCTAATTTCTAATGACATCACCAATAGTTTATGTTCAGATATCTGAAAAGAGGCTCACATTAGAGCTTGTGGTTTATGGGCTGTGTGCTATGTTTGAAATATAAGATTTTTTTCTTGCCTGAGCTTTTCTGTTTTCAATTTTTATATGGGTGTGTGTGTGTTTACATGGATATGTGTTCCTAACCAATCTTTAAATGACAAAACCCATCTGGTAATTCAGAATTAGTACTTCTCAGACTATAGTTTATAGATACTTTATTATCCTAAAGTTCTTTATTAGCAACTCTGTGTCCAAATCCTATATCCTATATGCCCTCAGGTTTAAATATTTATCTTCTTCAGGGGAAGTAGATAAAAGAGTAACTGTGTGGTGAGATAAATTCATTCAGGAAGCAAGGAGAAAGGGGAACCACTCTCCTTTAAAAGCCAGTATGAAACGGCCTCCTTCTGCAAGTTGTTTGCTACCATCATCTGTCTCCAGTCATCACTGCTATTGCTTTGGCCCAGAGTAGGGGCCTTGACTTGTTTGTGGATGGATATACCTACAGTCCTTCTCGTGTGTGACAATAAATAGCTCACTTACCTTGTGCCAGTTCTGTTGCTTTTCATGCAATATGTACTTGTGTCCAGTCTAGAAAATGTTGTACAAACAAGGAATTTATTACTAGAAGTACAAGTATTCTAGCTAGCACTAGAAAGATACAAGCTACTGAGAGTCACTCAAGAAGAAAGAGAAAATCTAAACAGATTTGTAATAAGAAAAGACATTTAATTAGTAATCAAAAGTCTTCCCATAAAAAAAAAATCCCAGATAATTCTGGTTAGCTTCCCTAATTAATTATACCAAAGATTTAATGCCAGTTGTTCATAAATCATTTGGAAAAATGGTAGATGAGTCAGTAGTTCAACATTAGTCAGCCTTCATTCCTATGAGATACAATACCATAGTTTAAAGGAGGAGGAGTCCTGGGGTCTCTTTTCAAAGCAAAGGCTTTCAACAGCATTTGCCTTTTTGCATACTTGAGCCAGTGAAGGGTGGGGCCTGGCCAGTTCCTGAGATGCATTCAAGCCACCATTCTTATTATCCTGTTGCAAAGTGCTTGGCTTCTTTGTAATGCTAATCTCTTCAGCAAAGATGCTCCCCTTGTCCTCAATTTTGCAGGTGCTTCCTTTCTCATAAAACTGCAAAAGTTCACATCTACTCTTTGCTCCCAATTCTTACTGTAGATCTGGCTAAAACTTGTCAGGTGAAAGGGCCGAAGACCAAGACCAGACCAGGCCACAGGAAGCCTTTATTAGAGGAATAGATCTACCGGGCTGTCTCTGAACAAAGGAGAGAGAGACAAAAGCAATATTGCCAGAGCAGGGAGAGTCTTTTATAGAGACTGGGGTGGGGTTTGTAGGGGCTGTGGCAGGGTTGAGTGAGTTAGTGACTAGGGAATGGAGGAGCCGGTGATGTCACTAGTTGGTAGGAGGTGAGCGAGTATTAGGTTACTCTCTAGGCAGGAACAGGGGCATGCTGGAAGGAAGGGTTTATTCTTTGTGGGAGCAACCATCTTGGTGTGACGTCACACGGGGCGGGGGGGCCAAGGCACCATAGGAAGAGGGCAGCTACTATACATAATAGCTGCTGAGGTGGTGGGAGACCTATCAAAACTAGGCAGTAGTATCCATGTGAAAGCCTGAACTTTGTGGTGCCCTGAAATCTGCTTCCACCAGATTAATTAGTCCACTGACCTTCATTTAAATCACCTGCAGTCTCAGAACATGGGCAAAATATAGACAATTTTTCTGCCAGATTGTAACATACATGGTCTCTAGTCTACCTACCAGTGGAGTCTGTGTTCCAGACTGAAGCCTTCTGAAATTGGCCTTTACTGTCCACATTCCTATCAGCATTCCTCTCTTCTGAACTCCAACCAGAATCACCAGTTATCAGAGACCTCTGCAGTGGGTTCTGATCTCCTGTTTGGTGCTGTAAGACCGAGGGCCTTACCAAATACTCTGAGGAGCTGACTGCAGCAAAGAACACCCGGGAAGGAACACACCAGACAAGTTGGAAAGTAAAACAGACCTTTATTAGTCTGGCCAGATGGCACTCCCAAAGCAAAGTAGCTTAGAGAGGCAACTGGCTCAGAGTCCGAGGCTGTTTTTATAGGGGGTTGCAGGGGAAGTTAGCAAGCAGAACTTACAGAAAAGAGAAAAAAATGTTGATGGTCAAAAGATGTTTGCAGATTGTCTTATAGATAGCTGTGTCCGGAACATCAGTTTCGGACAAACAAGGAGTTGGGTAATTCACTTAGGAACTATGTTTGTTACAGATTTTATCTAGTGTCCCAGAACTAACAAGGACATTTTAACCATTAACTCACAATCAGTCACTATGTTGGGGCTGGGGGAGCTTTTATGATTACAGAGTTATGTGGTCCCACATTCCCCACTGATTTTACAACTTAAGTAATCTTACGTATAAATGTGGGCATCCGTGTATACAGCAGCACGACAAAATTAAGCATATGCACACAACTATAACGATGAGAAAAAGTTGTTTTAACCATTGTAGGTTGGGCAACCGTTTAGTTAGCCACTGGAACAAGTCCCATCCTACTTTTTCATCATGTACCCTTTTAGCCAAGTCTTTCAACTGTTTTATCTTTTCTCTAATTCCTGGACTATTGTCAGTCAGATTGAAACAACACATATTTTTTATTCTTTCACAACCTTGATGATGAAAGAGCAACAAATAGTCTATAGCTGCTGTATTATCTAAGATCGCCTATCTCTGTTCTTGTAATTCCTGGTTAATTAATGCCAAGGCTGATGAGGTAGCATTTAACCCTTTGACCACTTTGCATGCTAATTTTCATACTGCCTTTTCAGCATGGACTCCTATGGAAGGCAGAGCAACAAAAGATGCTATCATAGATATCACTTCAGCATCTGTCAAAAGACCTACATCATCATCACATCCTGGCGCAGTATAAGGTGACCAACATTTAGTTCTATTTGGCATAATCAAATCAGTTCTATCTGGTAAAACTACAGCTAGACGACTCAAGCAGCAACAGGTCTTGGTTAAATTGGCTGGAATATAATTGAAAGTTATTCCTTCATAAGTATAAAACGATCCTGTCGGCAGGGAGATATGGCCACTGTTATACATAATTTTCTGTTTTATATGGCAGGGCATCCCTTCAGATTGTTTTATTCTCAGACACTTGGTTGTGCAATTTACATGCATAGCACATTGGGTATTATTTGACATAATTATCCTGGGTGTATATAATTTGATAGCATTTTTAGGTTTATGATATGAGGGATGCCCCCAATTGTAACTATCTTTATAAGTGAGATTTTTTTTCCCTGGGATATCCTTAAATAAGGTATAGGGCTGTATTAAATTTAAAGGGGTACACACCAGAATGAGACAGCTTCCTAATACATAATGGAAATTTACATCTATATTCAGACAGAATTCAGTCAAATTAAGCGATTTTGCCAATTGAACCCATACATTTCCGGTGTGGTCCAATTTTCTTGGGGGCAGTACCTCCAGTGTCCCAGAGAATATTATCATGAATGAGAAATATCTCCAACCCGCCCCAGTCTCAGCTTTCAGTTGCCTGGTTGGCTGATAACCTTCCATTTGTCCTTTGTGACATCTGCAAGGGGTCCTGCCTTCAGATGGTTGTGATGTATCCAGGCAGAATGCCCAGCTACCTTCACTGTCAAGGGAGTTGACAGGACAACAGGAACCGGTCCCTTCCAACGTGGTTCTAGGGCCTTGGACTCAAACCTGTGAATAAAACCAAATCTCCGACTTATAGGGTAAAGGTTGCAAAGGTTTTTCATTGGGACCAGGCATAGTCTTCCGTAATTTATCATGTAGCTCTGACTGATGCTGATGGACTGCTTTTAAGGATTTAAGGAGTCGAAGGTGGGAAAGCTTGTTTTTAATTTCTTTTTCTTTAGAGGTCAGCAGCCCTCTATTCTGATAAATCTCCCTGTGCACATGGGCGGTGGCAAAAGCATAATGGCTATCAGTGAATATATTTATCCTTTTTCCTTTCCCCAGTTCCAGAGCCTTAGTCAAAGTAATCAGCTCAGCCCTCTGTGCTGATGTCCCTTGAGGTAGCCCCTGCTCCCATTCCACCTGTTGGTCCTGGTTGACCACCACCACCCCAGCATACTGTACGCTATCACTCACAAAACTGCACCCATCAGTGTAGAACGTTGTCTCTGTGCGGGGGAGGGCCTGGTCCATCAAATCCAGATGCCCTCCCCTCAAGTTTTTGAGAGTCTCGAGGCAAGCATGGATGGGCATTTTTTCGTCAGATTCCGGGAGTAGAGTAGCCGGATTGAGGCTAGCGGTGGTGGCAAACCTAATGCATGGCTGTTCTAACAAGAGTCCTTGATATTGTAACAGTCTGGCATTAGACAGCCATTTGTTAGGTGAGCTATTTAACAAGGGTTCAATGGCATGGGGAGTGATCAAAGTCAAATCCTGTCCAAAGGTCAATTTGTCAGCCTCTTGGGTTAAAGCAGCTACTGCTACTACTGTCCTCAGACAAGTAGGCCACCCTCGGGCCACTGGGTCAAGCTTCTTCGAAAGGTATGCCACGGGCCGCTTCCATGGCCCCAAAAGCTGAGTAATCACTCCCTTGGCTACCCCATTTTTCTTTGCCACATACAGGGTGAAGGGCTTGTTTAAGTCTGGCAATTCCAGGGCTGGTGCCAATGCAAGCACAGTCTTAAGTGATTTGAAATGCCTGCTGGCAAGCCTCAGTCCATTTGAGGGGCATATTTCCTCCCCCAGTGGCTTTGTGCAGGGGTTTGGCAATCTCAGTGAAGCCAGGAATCCAAATTCTGCAATACCCAACTGCCCCTAGGAATTCCCACACCTGTTTCTTTGAGCTCGGCTCCAGAATCTGGAGAATTGCAGATACCCTTGATTCTGCCAGCCTCCTCTTTCCCTTCTCAAGAATATAGCCCAAGTAGGTTACCTTGGTCTGACAGAGCTGAGCTTTCTTCCAAGACACCCGATATCCCAGGTCTTGGAGGACTTCCAGGAGGCCCTCAGTGGCTGCAAGACACTCTTCATCAGTCAAAGTCACCACCAGGAGGTCATCTACATACTGAAGAATAGTCACTTGGGAAAACACTCTCCTTACCTCTTGTAAATCTTTGCTGAGAGCTTCCCCGAACAGAGTGGGGGAGTTTTTGAATCCCTGCAGCAGCCGGGTCCATGTCAACTGTCTGGTAGTCCTGGTGTCTGGGTCAGTCCATTCAAAGGCAAAGAGGGGCTGGCACACTGGTGCTAGAGACAGGCTGAAAAATGCATCTTTGAGGTCTAATACTGAGTACCACACATGAGCAGGAGGGATGAGACTCAACAGAGTATAGGGATTCAGTACCATTGGGTGGACGGTCTCCACCCGGCTGTTTACCTCCCACAAATCCTGTACTGGTCTGAAGTCTGAGGTGCCAGGCTTCCTCACAGGAAGCAGGGGTGTATTCCAGGCTGACTGGCAAGGGACCAAGATGCCGGCTTCCTGGAGTTGGTGGATGTGCTTGGAGATCCCTACCTTGGCGTCCAGCCGGAGGGGGTACTGCCACACATGGGTGGGGGTGGCAGAGGCCAACAATTGAACCACCACTGGGGCATGGTGTTTGGCCAGTCCAGGTGGGTTGGTCTCAGCCCACACCCGGGGAAACTTTTTCTGAAGGTAGTCCCATTTCTGTTTGGGGGGTTCTGTGCCCTCTTTTAGCAGCTTAAATTCATCTTCAAGGGGAACCGTTACCATAATGGCAGAGGGTGGCTTGAGTTTGAAAGTCCCTCCTTCAGGCTCAAAGGAAATAACAGCCCCCAATTTTCATAGCAAATCTCTTCCCAGCAATAGGTATGGGCACTCAGGGATAACTAAGAAGGAATGAGTGACGGTGCCTCTTCCCAGATTTACAGTTCGTTTTGTGGTCCAAGGATAAGAGGCCGACTTTCCTGTGGCTTCAGTAATGGAGGACTTTAGGGAAGAAAGGGTTCCAAGGGAGGTCTTCAGGACAGAGTGGTCCACACCAGTGTCCACAAGGAATTGGACATCTGTTCCCCCTATTCCTAAAGTCACCATAGGCTCATTAGGGTTAAACAGCCATGAGCCTAGGCCTCGTCAATCTTTTTCATCTACTAGAAGAAGCCCATCTCTTTCTCTCCTAGCCTTTTTCTCTCTCTTTCCAACTTTTCACAATCCCTTTTAAAATGGCCCTTCTCTTTGCAATATGCGCATTGATCCTTTTCTAACAGGGGCCGTACTTTACTTTTATCTTCTTTTCTATTCTCTTTTCATTCCTTTTGGACAAAACCTCCATCTGCTAAGGCTGCAACAGTTGCTTTTCCTATCTTTTTAGCCATTTTGTCATCTAAAGGATCTCTGTTATTAAACACCTTCATAGCTACACTCATCAGTTTTTCCCTATTTTCCCCCTCAAATCCTTCCATGTGCTGCAATTTCTTCCTAATATCTGGGGCCGACTGAGTGACAAAAGCCAAATTAATTGCCTGTTGGTTTGCAGGGGCATCTGGGTCAATTGGAGTATACATATGGTATGCTTCCAACAGATGCTCCAGAAAGGCAGAAGGGGATTCCTCAGGTCCTTGGAGGACCTCGCTTACGTTGCTCTAATTGGTAGGCTTCCAAGCGGCTCCCCTCAAGCCAGCTAGGAGATGCTGATGGTAGTTTTGGAGAGCTTCTCTCCCACCCAAGGAATTAACTTGCCACTGGGGATGGGTGGATGGAGGTTGCGCCTCGATATGGGCTCATTGTTGCTCATCGAGTGGGTCCTCTGTTCCTCCCAATACTGATTTTATGGCTTGCCCTTGAATTCTTTCTCTTTCATGGGAGGTAAAAAGGGCTTGGAGGAGTTGTTGACAGTCATCCCAGGTAGGATCATGGGTATGAAAAACAGATTCTAGGAGGAAGATCAAAGCCTGGGGTTTTTTGGAAAAGGGGATTTTGATGTTTCCAATTGTGTAAGTCGCTGGTAGAAAAAGGGATATAGACATAGTGACCCTGCTCTGTTTCCCGAAGAGGCAAAAGAGGAACTGAACCAGTCCCCTCAGAGGGAGCTTTGCTGGGACCACAAGCAGCCCCTGTCTGCATGGGGGAGGGAGAGGTTACAGAATCCGGAGATTTTTCCTCTTCAGGAAGAGGAGGGTAGAAAGGGTTTCGAGATCTGGGGCTGGTTTTATCAGAGAAGGTGGATGGATCCACATAGGGTGGAAGGGGTCTAAGGGATCAGTATCTTGTGAGAGCACCGGCTTGGGAGCCCGGGTTTTGACCTCTCGGGGTCCCCTTGGTGCAATAACCAGAACGCGAGTGTCTGTTTGCAGGGAACAATGCTGCACCCAAGCCGGAGGCTCTTCACAAGCCTGGACCCAGATATTTATACAAGGAAACTGATCAGGGTGGCTGGGGTGACCAGTGACTTTTCCCCATACAGCCCGACAGAGGCTTGGCTCAAAGGAGCCCTTGGCTGGCCATCCAACTCCAAAGGCTGGCCATTCCAATTGACACAGGGAGCAAAGTTTTCCATGAGAGACTTTAACCCCATATTCGTCCTCCTATTCGGGGGAAAAAGCCAATTTAAAATTAGTGAGAAAACAATCCAATGGGGTATTTTTGGAGCAGGATCCTCCCATCTCTGCCCTTGATGGTTTGGAAAGAAATA